TGTGTTGTAAAACTAGCGGAAAAAAAGCATTTTTGACTAATGAATTTTGACTGCGCGTTCACTGTCAGTTCGGATTGGACCAACTAACGGATTGGATCAAATAACGTGCGGACTTCAAGTAAAACTAATTCTAATACAGAAAATACCCTTTGTGTTATGTTTACAAAATATTGTGCCATAAAGTAAAATAACTGTATGTCTTGGGGTGAATTTGTGTTATTTTAATTGCATAAACTGCAGTATACACCCGTGTGCCGACGATAAGATGGTTTGACCCAAAACCTTGCTCGGCCAATACGTACGCTGAACACAGAGTGGCTGGACGGTGGGGTAGCCTCTGGTTTCTTACGCGATATTTGCAACATTTGCTCTATGTATATACCTTGTCGCTGTTTAAACTTTTTTCAGCAAAGGTAGGACGTCGGGAAAGCAGAAAACGTTCAAGTAAAACTGTCCGCTCACATATTTCGAAAGGTTTACCATACGGGCTGTGCGGCGCTCTTGGGCTTGCAAGAACCAACTGCACCTTTTATCCAGCAACTTCATCTGGTTACGCTAATGAACTCAATCGACTGCACAGCTTGAAACTGAGTTTTGGGGGTTTTTGGTTTTTAACAAATAGGTGATTTTAAAGGTTTTCTTACAACTTGCCTAAAGTGAGTTAATAGGATATTGTAATGCTAACAGTGAAGGTGTAATTACACTTGCAACATGGCTGCTACTCGAACGGCAGAAGGAAAAGTTTAACACTGACGTGGGAGAAGTTTAACGTCAGTGCGACTTGGTACGCGAGTTGTTGTCCACATAATAAAGTCGTAAGCAGTCGCCCCGTAGTCCGGCAACAGTATCCCCCCGGACTCTCAAACCAGTGGCTGAACCGAGAGAGAGACGCCTCCTCCTCCTCTTCGTCGTCCTCCTCCTCCTCCTCCGTAGTCACCGACGTTAGTCACTGCAGTGGACTTTGTGGGGAAACTGTGGTGTCCTCTCCATCGCAGACTGTGGTGGCGTTAAAGGACTTATCATCTGGGAGCTGCTTGTGTTTCGAGCTAAGATGCATTTTTCCATACCCGACACAGAGGTTCGTTCGGGAGAAAACGGTTCGACCTACGTGGTAAGCACGACGTTGTGTCTTTCTTTTTTTGTTGTTGTTGTTGTACCCGCTTTAACCACAGACTGTGTTAATGCTTGTTTCAGCTGCCCACATGTCGAGCTAATGTCAGTGCGGCACGGGCTCCAGTGTTTACTGTGCACAAATTATTGGGAAGGCGGAACTGCTGGGTTATAAATCAGCTATAAACATTACTGTGTAATCATGCCATTGATGCTTTGCATAGGTGAATAAAAACTTGATTTGTTGTATTAAAATTTGAGCAAATTGGGCAAAAATTATTTTAGCATGATTGTTTGAGACATCAACAGAAAAGTAATGTGGCTTTTATCCTGTTCAACACAGTTTCTGCCATTTTACCTTCATCTGGCGGAGAAAATTAGTTCCACAGTATAAACATATAGCATCATTATGCCATGTCTGAAGTTTAACACACTGTGATTTACCCATAAAGCTTTATGCACAAACTTGCATGTGTCCCAGTCTCTTTATAGCCTCAAATCAGCCACAACAAAGTCTCTTTTGTTTTAAAGGTTTGAGCCAGTACCTAAATTCTTAGTGAGATTTGAGGTTTGCTTACCATGATGTTGCCATCTCCCGTGTTATTTAGAAAAAGAGAATACAGCCAGCATTGCTTTAACTTCATCCCTTAACTAGCAGTTATATATATCAGTCTAAACTATGGTAGTCTTCAAAGCACATTGGGAGCTTCAGCATAATCTTTATGTTTATTTTCTTCTTTCTGTTTCTTATTGTGTTTAATGTTGTTTGAAACATGAATTACCATTGTGCTTTGCTGTGTTCTGAAGGTAGCCTTTGTGAAGGTTGATCAAGGACAGCAGTAATAGCACCATTTTCTTTGCTATTTATGAAAAACCCAGTGACTGACAGTCAGGATACATTGTATTAATGTTTGCCAGATGTAGTGTTTATTTCTCAAAGTTTGCGTCAACTCAAAAGATTTCTTCCTTGTGTTGCTTGATTACTTGGACAGAGACGATAAATATGATCTATTGGTGATTGCAAGTTGCCAGAAAACTGCTTGGGTTCAAGTTGAGATGGATAATGATTTTAAAGATGTCATTATGAATTGTGCTTCCATTCCTGATCCATTTTCTTATTTGTTCCTAGCAGTAGGCCTTTGCAGGTTTATGGCATAAGTACAACAGTTTCATTACTTCTGAACACAGAGTAGAAAAAAGGTTTGCATCTGACTCAGATGTGCAAGAGCTCCACTGCCACGAGTGGGACGTCATTGTTTAGCAATGTGCGACTGTCAGAAAACCTTGCCAGCACTGATGAATGGAACTGGAAAGCTCAGAGCTCTGATGGATCAGATCATTTGGAACCTGTTCTCAGTTCCCAAGTTTGCTTCTCCTCATGTGTTGATGTCGTGCAACAAATAATTAATAATTCAGGATTTTTATAGAAAACAGTGTCTATAGTATTTATTAAAAGTGTTTTTGTGTCAGGTCCCTTTGTCCTGTGTGTGTGTGTGTGTGTGTGTCTGTGTGTGTGTGTGTACTTAAAAAACACAAACACTGCATCATCTGATTTTAATCTAACATTACTCTGGCTGCTCTCAGTGTCATACACCTGTAAATGAGTATTTTCCATTTTGACTGTGTATTTGGAAGAAAGTCTTGGAGTAGGTATAATAATATTTGAATTGGCACAGAATTAGGAAATAAACATAAAAAGCTTTGCAAGAGAAGTAGTGGACATGTCGAATAATTCAGAATTATTTCCCTCTTTCTCCACGCGTTCCTCACTGATGTCGTTCTCTGACGTATCTCTACTTAGCCAAGCACATTTTTAGCCTGTACTCCAGTGGGAAAAGCAAAGGCCTTTCACCTCTCAGCTGGGAGTCCTGTGACTGTCACTGTGACCTTCCCATAACCAGCTGAAAGGAAGGGACTTTGCTTGATTGTAACACTGAGAGACGGGTTGTGTACCTTGGAACCAGTAAGCTGCAGAATTTGCCGCGTTTGCAAAGGGCTTTCTTAGAATTAAAAAGGCCTCTTTTTTATGGCAGTGTTCCTGGGTTGTTGTTTTTTTCCGCTATTACACTTCTGCCTTTATCTCAACCTAATTTTTTTTAGTGTTTGTGGATATGAGAACAAGAGACTTTGGTGTTACATTAAGTGACGATAACTCATTTACTCAGGATGAGGAACAGGTTTAGACTTAGCTCTAAACTAGTTCATTATTCATCATTCAAAGTCTGTATTACTTTGGTTTTTGTTTTTTTTTTTTTGAAACCATGAAAGCTGTGCTCAACAGTGTAGCTGTGTCAGTTGGCTCCATATACTGAGCCAGATGTATAAACTTAGAGACACAGAGAGGTTCCCTAAAATGTGCTAACAGTTGCAGGTATCTTGGAAATCCTCTCACAGATACTGGTTCACAAGATTAGATCACACATGGTTTTAGGGGTTAAAGTGGGCAGTGATGAAAAAAAAGTAAAAACACTGACAGTTTTGTTTCTAATAAGGGCGTCTCATATTAAATCTGGTCTTTCTCAGGACTGAACATTCAGTGTTTTGATCTGATTACAGCAATGGGATCAGACAGCATCTCACTCCTTTAAGAAACTTTATTATGACACAAATTTTAGATTAGCAGCTGGATTATGAAATCAAAAGCTTTTAAACATGATGAGGAACTAGGATCAAAATGTAACACTATTTAATACATTTATAAGAGTTTGGGGGGCAGAAACAAAGATGAGTGTGGGAATATGTAGGAAAACATATACAGCCTCTTGAACTGTCCCCAAGTTGAACTGCTTGTAGCCACCAAAAAAAAACTCGGGTATTTTTTTTTTTTTTTTGTTGTTGTTGCACTTTTGCATTTTTAGAGCCAAGACATTCTGCATACTCATTCTTCCTTCCTGTCAGGATCCTGCCTACACAGACATATTTTTTTTTGTCCAAGCCTTCCTCTTTTGCAAGAACAACTTTTGGCGTGATATTCTTGTTTTTTCCCTTTGATTGTTTGTGCAGTTCAGCAAGAGCATGTACATGTGCAGTCAGAAGACTGTAAAATTCCTTTTGTGTGGACAGATGACCCGCCATGTTGACTGCAAGAATTAATTGAGATAGAAAGGGAAGAGGATTAAAGCACTACAGCAGTTTATGTCTTGATATCCAAATATGAAGTCTTCTCAGTGAGCTTGTTGTTCCCTTATCACTGTGCACAGCCTGCTGGAAGCTGATTGTTTTTTTTTGTTTGTTTGTTTGTTTTTTAGCATATGAAGGAGGAAATAATAATTCTCAAATTATAAATAGTGGGTAAATAACACAATATTAATAGGATTATTCCATGTAGGTTGTTCTGTAATTGATGCATTACATTTTTATGTATATTTGGTTTACTATCGTACTTAATGACATGAAAAATTTCTTCCTTGCTTTCTGTGGCTGGCTCTCAACATGAAGGCAAGCAGATTTTTGGTCTGCTAGCTCCAAGTGGTTGTTTTGTGGAGGAGTTTTCAGTGACAGCTCCTGTCAAAACAAGCAAAGTGTCTCCAGAGAAGGAGTTAAAGATTCCACATGAAATACTTTCTCTCTATATTAAATGTCTGGATGAGGTTTGGATTGAAAACTGTGCAGCAGGTTCTGTTTTCCTCTTTGGATGGAAGTCGCTGGAATATGATTGAATCCAGTTCACACTTCATTTGTTTGGTCTAAGAAAACAAAAGCAGAGGAAGCACACTGCAGTGGGATGATCAGATGAAATCAGTAGTGAAACTTGATGCTAAAGGTACAGGGTGGTAAATGCTGATTCTTCCAGCGTCTTTCAGCAGTTGTGGTTTTATTTCCTCCATGCAAACACAATGCCTCTGAAGTCACCAAATCACTGTTAGGTGTGCATTTAAAGAAACAAATTCAGCACTCGCTTTATGCTGTTTTTTACATAGTCTTTGTCCTTATGTCTGTCCCCACAGGCCTACAACATCCATGTCAATGGTGTGCTGCACTGTCGGGTACGCTATAGCCAACTTCTTGGCCTCCATGAACAGGTAAGGTTTAAGCCATGTTAATATACCAACCACACTGTCAGTGTGCTTCAAAGCACGTTTTTATGTGTGGTGCTCTGACATAAATGCCATCACATCCACCCATAGTGACCTTTTACTCGTATTTGTGTCATACGGTCGATACGCCAGCCTCCCGTCACTTTAAATCATGACTACGATGCCTTGAAGTCTTTGGCTTCCGCTTTTCCAAGAGTTCCAGCTATTGGCTGTAAATAGACAGTAATATGGGGGAGGTGGGTGGGGGTGTGTGACATGGAAAGAATGTTCTTGGCCTTTCTTACACTTTACCTGCTGGGAAAAGGAATTTAATCTGAAAAAGAAATGTGGTGGGAAAGTGTTGAGTTGTCTGTTCTTGAGAGTTGTTTTGTCTCTGCCTCAGCTGAGCTTTACACACAGCCAGACTGATATTTCAGAGCTGTTAATAGGCAATTAGTGTATTCAGTGTTTCACATGTGTTTTTCTTTCTTGTAAAGATGTGTTTTTAAGTGCTTTGTGCACTAAAATGTATACAACAGCATAAAACATGGCCCTAAAGGAGTGCCCAGTGCCCCTTTTGCTTATACACATTACAAACTAAGAGAGCTAGGGCCAAACTTTACAATCTCCATCCTCAACTCTGTGTTATCATCCTGACAGATGCTGTTGCCTGGCAACAGGGAGTGGGAAAGACACACTCAAATCTTTAAGCATCAACCCCAAAGGGCTTCCTGTGGCATACTCATGACCCCAAAACACTCCACACTTGATTGTGGTGCACACACTCGTCTCAGTTATTGCTCAGAAAATTAGATTTTTTTAAGTGCTTCTCATGTGTTCTCTCCTGTAAGGATTTGCAACACGGCAGAAGCTGTGCTAGATTCAAATCCTGTTTAAAGCAAACAGTAAAAAACAGGACAAGCTCTGCCAAAAATGCTTCGCATGAGCTCACATGTATTTCAGATGTGACAGACTTTTATGAATCTGCAACCTGTGCTCGGTGTGTGTGGCTCTGAAAGCTTATTTGTATGTGTAACCAGTTGCTGCCTCTGGCATACTTAAAATACCACAGGGAAATATGCAGAGGTGAAAATGGCCTCTTTTCCTCTAGCACTCGCTGTGGTCTGCCTTCATCATAGCATACCTGCAGCAATATGCAGGTTAAAAATTAAACCACATAAAAGTGTTTGATTTTTAGATCAGACACCAAATGGTGTAAGACTTCAATGGTTCAAGCCACCAGTGCTCAGATGATAGAAAATGGAAAGAAGTGAGTCAAGAAGCTGGAAGACAAAGTAAACTTGGAATGACTAGACATTCAGCGTTCCAGATGTGTCCGTGTGTGTGTGTGTGTCTGTGTTTGTTATGCACGGAAACTCCAGCAGCTAGCCGTTGAAACAGTGCTTAAAATAAACCTGTGATTCATCTCAAACAACCTCAATGTACCTCTTAGAAAAATTAATCCACAGCTCTTTAATTCAGAAGACTGCTGTTCTGTAGCAAAGTTATCATTTTTAATAGTTTAAACTTAAATCTCTTTTCAGTAAATTTTGGCTTTGTTAAAATAAGAATGTAGCTAGCAGACTGCTTGAACAAACTCTGTTTTCTCTTAAAACCAGAGAAATACTGGTTTAGCGAGGGTTTGTTTTTTCCAAGACTGCCGACTCTTTGTTCCCTCCGAGCTTCACAACTTGTGGTTTGCATCAACAGATAAAGAAAGAATATGGAAGCAATGTGGTGCCTGCCTTCCCCCCAAAGAAGATCTTCACACTGACCCCTGCTGAGGTCGAACAGAGGAGAGAACAGCTGGAGAAATACATGCAAGCTAGTAAGTTATTCATGCAGAATGGACTTTTCACAGATGGCTTGTATTGTATTTCACTTCATTCAGATGCAGAGTGGTTGTTTAAACCAGTGTTTAAATTAGATAGTGTTTTTTAAGTTGCACACATTCCCCTCTTTAGTAGTGTGTGTATAACGAGCCAGTGTTTTTAAAACAGAATATTTGCAGGACAAACACGGTTTCCTTGAGAGCTTTCCCCACAGCAATCACAAGAACAAGTTTGCTTGGTGTCTGCAGGGAGTCCAAACATACACTGTTCTCTTCATGCCACATAAGTGTGAAAGAACTGTTAATCTGGGCATAGAGTGTCTGAGCAGGGACACTGATACAAAGCCTCAGTTGGGAGTGAAATGTTGACACACCTTATGAATAAAAATATCGAGACCCAGAATCTCAAATCTGAAAGTGTCAGTAATGTAAATATTTTTTTTATTGATTTGAATTTTTTAGTAAAGAGAGGTTTTTGTTTTTTGTTTTTTTGTTTGGTTGGTTTTTTGGAGGAAAAATACCCGGCTTTTGTACCATGAAGAATAATTAAAATCTTGGCATGGTAAGACCAAGTGGAACACCTCGTGACAGTTTTAAAAGCTTATTTAGCATCAGGTCAGTAAACCCATTCAGAGTATTTCAATTCGAGAGGTTTTCGGCATATTACACGTTGTGTAAACAGGTCAAAGGTGAACTATCCAAGTACACACATACACAAATAAGTGCAACTGGCAGCAACATGGAGGGTTGGTTTTAATCCTTTCAAGCACTGGAAGTTACAGCAGAACAAGGGATCATTGTTTGAGTGCATATTTGCTCATAGTCTGGGAGCATACGCATTCAGGGTGTTCTTGGCTACAAGTTCACTAGGTTACATCATGGCTTTTGACATAGTTATGGAAAATAAACTGACGCAAACACAATATGCACTGATGCAGATGGCTCCAAAATTTCCCTTTTTGTCAAGTAGAGTTTGTGAAGTTAGTATACAGGATGACACACACATGCTCACACTTAGTCATATTGTATGTAATGTTAAATGCTCTGCTTTGCCACTGAAAACTGCGTCAGGAATAAATAAGAAGCCAAAGCAAAAGAGAGTTGTTAATTCGGCCTTTTATTTACTAAGTATGGTGTGTTGGAGCTGGTTAGTGGCAGTTAAGATCATTGATCCTTTGCCAGAGGTCAGCCCTTCCTTCATAAAGTTTTTATGCGCTAAGCTAAATTGCCTTTACAAATAACTTGGAAGGTGTGACCTATTTCACAATAGCAAGCTCAAAAAGCAGAAAACTAAGAAATGGGAAGTGGCTCCACCTAAAAACATTGATGTTTATGAGTAACCCCCAAAATTGCATACCAACACCAGTTAGGCATTCATGTAGTTGTGTTACTTTCACTTATTGCTTTACTGTCCTTTGTTTTGTTTTGTTTTTTTTCAGTCCGTCAGGATCCCTTGCTTGGAGCCAGCGAGTTGTTCAACAGTTTCTTAAGGAAGGCCCAACAGGTTGGTGGTTATTTTATATCTAACCTGCATCAAGAGGTTGTCGGTCAATAGGTCTGAAAGGAGCAATGCACCTTATACTAAAATGCTGAGGCAGTGATTTCTGCTTCACTAGTAATTACTTTGACATTGCGGTGAAATGAGGTAGTGCTGTTCTTGCTGTTTGTCTATCGCAGCAGCACACATACACTTTCTTGGATTGTGTCATCTGTACTTGTAAGCTTCTGGTTAGATGTGTCAGATCCAAGACTGGCCTGCATGCTGAAACATGGAAAATGATAACATGAATCATGTAACAAGTCTTTTATTAAACACAGCAACTTAGTTACTGTGTGTCTGTGTGTGTGTGTGTGTGTCTGTGTGAGAGACATCCAGCTCAAAACATGCTTTTTCCATACCAAAAAATCTAAGATGGTTTTCAGTTTAAGCTGATTCTATGTCATTTCAAATGGATGGTGTATTCATAACTTATTCATGACAGGTTGCATCATTTAGTCTGTGACTTGCATTACCTGAGGCTGCAAATCCATTCAGATTCATCCATCTGCAGCCACATCGCACCCATTCTCCTGTTTTGTTTTGTTTTTCTTCCGCCCTCTTCTCCTCTCAGATTAGCACATTAGAGTCAGTGTTTATGTCACTTCTCTCACGTACTGTGAAGAAAGCAGGTCTGGAATAGGAGATGACTTGCCTCCCAGTGTAGGCTTTTCATCTGTGCCTTCTGTGCTCTCAGAGACCCCCTGCTGTGGGAAAAGGGAAGATGATAGATGATTTAGCCAGGAAGACAAGAGAGAGAAGAAGCTGGAGTCATCCAGTTCAAGATTGCACCCGTAATATAAACGATGAGATTATTTAATCATCTTATCATACGTTTTTCTTTTCTTTTTTTTAATGCACACTTGGTTTAATTAGTGTTAGAGGCCTTTTCTTACATAATGATATTGCTTTTACCTTTTTAAGTAAGCATTTTTGTTGAATGGTGCTTTTTTTTTTAAATTGTTTTGTAATGTGTAGTCATATTGTGGCTTTTCTCTTGCAAGTTTGTTATCCAAAACAAAAGACTGCATGTAGCACTATATCCAATAAACATTTCCCTGCTTTTGAATATCTTTATGGGGTTTTTCCTTTTGACTGTCACTTGGACAAAACAAGGCAACACTTTAGTAAAGTTGTGGTAAATAACAGTATGTAGATAACAATCAATTACAAAGAAAATGAGTGTGATCAGTATTGTCCAGTCCCCCAAAAAGTTAGTGAATAATTAAAGGTGATTTTAATAATTAAAAATATTTAATTACTCGTTATTGTGGGCTGTTCATTGCACACGTGCTATTCTTATATGCGTCACTAAATAATTCCCATATGTGAGCCATTGCCTTTGTTCCTTCTCCATTTGAGTTAAACCTTAACATACTTTGAACATCTTTTAAGATTTTATGTCAAAATTGACAGTAAAGATAAAAGTGATCAGACTGAATGGATTAAATTTTGTTTGAAGTGCATCATAAATTTGTGTTTGAGAAAATGTTACAGTGGAGGGTCGTCTATTGTCATGGAAAGGGTTTGGGGGGGGGGGGGGGGGGGGTGTTCCCTTCTAACCAGACAGAGTTTTTCCATCTGTGTGGCTTGGTGTGATTTTTGTTGTTGACTGATGGGAATGAAAACATGTAGCTCACCCAGAAAGTTGAATTCAATCCTTTTGTTTCCTGTTGTTTCCACAGGAGACCCAGCAGATCCCCACAGAAGAGGTTGCAATAGACATCTGCCTCTGTAATGGCCAGAAGGTCACAGTCAACATTCTCACATCATATAAGACGGAAGATGTGCTTGATGTAAGTGCTGGACGTTTAAAGCGAGAGTAAACATGTTTTTACTGTCTCATACAGTACGATGCTTTTTAAGTGCCATGTTTGTTGTAATCTTGCTTAGACAGAAAAATATTTACATGAAAAAACTATAAGTGAATACTGCTGTCAGCTCCATATCTTGATATAGTTAAAAGAAACTAAAGTCTTAAACTTTTATCTGTTTGGTTTCAACTTTTCTTATTAGTTCTGTGTGTTTGGTTGGAGAGCACATGGACAAAATTCAGCCCTGAGGGCTGGAATTGGATGAACTAGATAAGTCTGTGCTGCTATTTGACTCAATTCCAATGCAGTGTGTTTGATCAGTGACCCATGCAGTAGCGTATATACCAGGACACTACCAGAACGTAGCGTATTTTAAATATTTATGTAGGCATCTAGGCAAGTTATAAATATTTTCATTGTAACCGGTGGCCATGTTTTAGTTCAGTTATTTAAAGTGTGGCCCATTGCTTATTTCATTTAAATCGGTATGGCCATCTCTGACCTAGAGGCATTTGAGCTCTTCATAACAGATCTGATAGACACCAGGGATTTGCCTCAGGCAAGCAATATTGCTTTACAATCTCCTGTGAGCTCTGAGGCACTACATACCATAAGTCAAATTAAGCCATGTTTATTTGTATAGCACCTCCTCAGTACAGCAATATTTCACGAAGCACTTTATGAAGTCTGGCCTACTTCAATCAAAACTAAGGAAAACTTGGAACACGACCAAGACAGATGGAAAGAAAACAAATCTAAGCACACTCTAAAGACACTTGATGGCATGATGAAAATACCCAACAGGCCTATTTAAGCTTTCAGGCCATAATCCCAAAAGAGCAATTACAATGTGCCAGTGAAACAAATATACAGTATTATTATCAAACAGCTTTATTATATGTGACTTGTTTTGTTGTTGTTGTTTTATTATTATTTTTAATAATCTGGGCGAAACATGGTGATGTCCAAACCATTCAGTATATGCACTTCACCTGTACTCTTTATTCACCATAAACACACACTAAAGTACACACTCTAACTCATCCCAGTAAACATGGCGATGCCTCAGTGGCGTGCACTTTGTCGATCTTGGCTGTAAATCAAACTTGTTCGAGTCTCTTATGAAAGTTTAACCACAGTTAACCTCTGATCAGAACAGCAGCTGTCAGAGCACACAGATGGTGTATATTTTAGTCAGGGTTTCTGCCTCAATGTTGTATTGCTTAATTATTTTACTAACTAAAATGCTAGATTTTTGTTTGTTTGTTTGTTTGTTTTGTCTCAGCAGTTCAAAAACTCTACCAGTGGTTTGCATTTGGGTTTGTTTACAGTTAAATTATGAGAATTACAACTTCAAATCCAGAAATGTGTAAAATGTAAATAAAAAAAATCTCATAAACCCACATTTTATTCACACAAGAGCACAGAAA